TGTGCCCAGATTGCCTCTCTCCAGATTTCCATTCTAAAGAGTTTCCCATTCCTCATTATCTAAATCCACTCCCAATATTATTAGCATTTGAGTCTTTTAAATTTGAAAACAAAGACATCATTCGATAAAAAAAAAGGAACTGCAGGACAGATTTTTTTTTTATCCTGTGATAAATAGAATTCCTATAAGAATTCTCTCATTCTACACATGATAGAAGTCTGGATTTTTGTTTCCAGCCAGTATCTAAGGGACCCTTTGCTCTGGAATCCGAACAGTGATACTTATGCCAAAAATCTTCTCTATAGCCAAAAGGAAGCAACTCCCCCCTCATCCTCACAGGGGATCATTCTCTTTGCTGAACTTACTCATGAACCACAGAATGGTCCCCTCTTCCCTGTGACCATTCTATTGTCAAGAAATCTCCTCCCTCCACATCCTTTCTTTCCTCTTTCTCCCATTTTCCCTGCCAACAAACAGAAGAGGCGTTTTTCAGTCCCTGGTGGGTCTGGTTAGAAGCAGCTTTCCTGCAGGGTCAGTAATAAGAAAAATGAATTTTTGAAATAGTTTAAGCAATTTCACTTAGTCAAGTGCTCTATAAATGACATAAACAAATCTAAGTATTTTACCAGCCCATTTACTTATGCAATTAGGACTTCGATGCATAAATGAACTTGTAAAATTTACTACACAATTTATATCATTGAGAAAGGAAAATACAGTGTAGTAGGAAGATCATTGGAATTGGAATCAGAATGCTAACTACCCATGTGACCTTGGCCAAGGTTACTTAACTTCTCAGGGCCTCTTTTCTTATCTGTAAAATGGTCATAGTAATTGCACTCCCTATTTCTCATTTTTACTGTTATGGTCAAATGAGTTTATGCATGTAAAATCCTTTTGCAGACATGAACTTCTATGTAGATATTACCATTTATTTTATAAATATATACATCTAGCATTTGAAAAACATGATCATACATTGCCACACAGGAAAGAAAGTCAGTCAAAAATCCCGAGGTCTTCCCAAAGAGAGTGTCGAGGATGGTGAAGGGAGTGGATATTGCCATATAAGAATCAATGAAGGAACTAGGAATATTTAGCCTTGAGAAGAGAAGATGGGAAACACAGAGGGTGTCCCAAAAATCTAAGTGCAGTTGTCAGCTTAAACAGCTGTATTAGCTGGCTTCAATCATTTAAAGGGTTGCCTCATGGGAGAGGGGTTATGCTTGTTCTGCATAGAACTTGTAGCAATGCAGGGACAGTGAAGAGAGGCAAATTTAGGTTTGAAATAAGGAAAAACTCACTAATAATGATATACAAAAGTAGGATGGTTTGTCTCTGAAAGCAATGGGTTCTTTTTACTGGAGTCCTTCAGGCAAGAACTGAATGACCCTCTATCCGTGATATTGTACAGAATTCTTTGTTAGACAAGATGGCCTCTGAAATCCTTTCCAACTTTGACATTCTGTGATTTTGTGATGGTAACTATGGTATAAGAGTGTTGTTGTTGGTTATTCATTTTTCAGTCATATCTGACTCTTTGTGACCACATTTAGGGTTTTCTTGACTAAGATACTGGCATGGTTTGCCTTTTCCTTCTTCATCTCATTTTCCAGATGAGGAAATGAGGCAAATGGAATTAAGTGACTTGCCCAGAGTCACACAGCTAGTAAGTATCTGAGGCCAGATTTGAACTCAGAAACAGGAATCTTCCTGACTCCGGGTCCAGCATTCTATCCACTGTGCCACCTAACTGGAGTGGGGGAGTCTATAAACCATGGTGTTTGAGGAATGTTTAAGGACAATTAATACGGTTGGTCTCAAAAAGAGAAGACTTAGAAGGAACATCAATGAATCAATCAGTAGATTTTTATTCAGTGCCTAACATATGCCTGTGTTAGGTACTGGGGATACAGCAACAAAAATGAAAAGGTTCCTACCCAGAGGGAGTTTATATTCTATTAATAGTGCCACTGTTAAGGAGCTCACCGTGCAAACCACTACAGACAGATAAGATACATAAAGGATAAGTTGGAGCTAATCCACAAGGAGTGTACAGTTATCCCTTCTACATTGCAGAAGTGAGGGGCGTGGCACTCCTACCATCTGGAAAATTGGGTAAAAAATTTTGGCCCTCCCTTCATACCAGAGAAGTCTGAATTCTTTCTTTTTCTTTTCTGGGGTGTTTACAGTACCTTGTTGTAAAATTTCTGTTAAGTATTTGGTCATAGGTTCTGTGTATCATCTGTGGCTTCTGCAAAACTCCCACAAAATTCCCATTTAATTTTTCATGCCAACCCATGATATATTGAAACCACCATGGGGAAAGATGCTATGTGAAAGGGATAACTGTACTACAATTATGGGGGATCAGGAAAAGCTCTTGCACAAAGTTAGACTTTAGCTGAGACTCAAAGGAAGCCAGGGTTACCAAGAGGCAGAGATGAGGAAGAGAATTCCAGGCATAGGGGACAGCCAGTGAAAATGTGCAATCAGGAGATAGAGTCTGTATATTCGTCTTCACATCACTCAGTGCCCAATCTCTTTTTTTTTTAAAGTGCTGACATGATTATAGAATATTTGAAATCATATGTTTAAATTATTCCATTAGGCAGTCATTTTTAAAGGCATTTAGCTTTCTTGGGCCTCACGTTCCTCAAATGAAAAGAGAGAATAGGGAAAAGAATAGACTCAATGTTCCTTATGGCTCCAAAACAAGGGTCCTGTGATCACATCCAACCTTCTCATTTTAAAGATGAGGAAATTGAGGCATGGAGAGATAGGGTTACTTGCCCAGTGTCACATAACTAATCAGTGGCAGAGTCAGGATTCCAACTCAAGTCTCCTGACTCCAACTCTAATGCCCTCATCCAGGCTTGCAAGCCACTTGTAGCATTTCTTTCCACAGCCCAGATCTGTTGTTCTTGGTGCATGGTGGTGGTGAATCTGGAAAAGTCCAGCAGCTTGAAGTCTTGATGAGTACTGTTCTCTTCTGCTGAGAAAGCATATTTACATATTGTCTGAGAGGAAGAAGAGAATAATAATGATAACAATAGTTACAACTGACATTTATATGTTCATTTAGGAGAGGTAGCATGGTGTACTGGATAGAGAGCTAGCCTTATAGCCATTAGGACCAAGGTTCAAATCTCACCTGGGATACTTATTGACTGTATGACCCTGGGCAAGACCAGAATTTGCATAGAAGATGGCAACTTACATTGATAGAGGGAGTTTCCGATGCTAATGAAAGCATATATCTAATCCTTATCCCTGTGTAGCTGGAGTTCTTAAACTTTTTTGTGTGTGTCATGGACCTCTTGCAGTCAGGGGAAGCCTATGAACTCCTCTGAATAATGGATTTAAATAATTTAAAGAAATGCTAAATTTCAGTTCATTTTTAGTGAAAATCAAGATGTGTGTGTGTTTTTTTTTTTACCATCTGAGTTCATGGACCCCTTGTAAATCTGTGAATCCCAGTTTAAATACTCTTGCTTTATTGGTGATTTAACATTTGCCAAGCACTTTTTACTTATTATCTTATTTGATCTTCACAGAAACCAAGTAAGGTAGTTAGTAAAAGTATTATTATCCTTATTCTATAGGTGAGGAAACTGAGTCTCAGGAATGTCAATTAACTAGTGATAATTTTATTATGTTAATTAATCAGGCTTATCCAACCAATAAATGTCAGGGGAAGGTAGAATTTGAACCCAGGTGTGTCTGCACACTCAAAGCACAAAAAAGTAGAGAAAATATGGGTTGCTTCATTCTCATGGTTCCTCCCATTAGTTCTAATTGTTATTTACATCATGATTAATGGGAAATATGCTTAACATGAATGTATACGTAGAGCCTATATCAGATTGTATGCTGTTTTGGGTGGGGGGAATAAGTGGGAGGGGGAGAAAATTTAAAACTCATAATCATATGGAAGTGAATATTGAAAACTAAAAATAAATTAATTATAAAAAAGAGGGAGGAAGTGAAATAAGGTGGGGAGGAAAAGGAATATATGGTGGCATGGAAATATCTGATAGCTTATAAATATTTCCAGGTAAGAGACTGCAACCAATTAGCAGTTTTTCCAGAATTTAATCACTATATTCTAAGTGACTGAATGGCAGAGATCAAATATTCCTCCTTTTCATATATCTCACAGTATCTAGGACACAAAAGGAGCTCAATGTTTCCTGAGTGAATGAATGAGTAATCACTCCTCAAGTCTCTCCATCCTTGCATATCTGTGCCTTTCATTAAATGAACTGGAGTTACAGGGAAAACTTTGTTTTTTCTGAATCCTTGAAACATTTTGGGTGGGTTTATTTTGTTTTGTCTCAACCACTTGCAATCTGCTTATACTAAATGTGACACTTTGCTAATAAAAGAATTTGCTATATAATCATTTTGCTACTTATTAGAAGACTGGCAGAATTCAGTGCACAGGTTCCCTCCTCACCAGTCCTTTGTCTATAATCTGATGTCTCTTCCTTAGAGCTTGTAAGACTGCACCTTTTCAGGACAATGGGAAGACAGGAGGGACAGAAAAATACTTTCACAAGCTAAAGTACTAATAGCAAGTCATTATTTTGCTGCAATGTCTTCTGCAATGAAACTGAATAAAAATTAGCTGCTGTTTAAACAAGTATTCCCTCCCTTTGTTTGATTACAGCAAGTAAAAAAATCAAATATAAAACTAATGGTTTCCACAGCTGGCTACCCTAGGTCTACACAGAGCAATCAGTCTACTCACTGAGTAGGGTGTTCTAGCCAAAGTGTCGACTTTGGGACTGCCTTTGAGGTGAGGGAGAGAAACTCTGACCCTGTTTACCCAAGTGCCCCTGTGTGGGAAGAAGTGCTGTCTTTTAATCTCCAAAAAGCAGCACTGTGTTGTTGGGGTTTTTTTGTTTTTTTTTTCTTTTTGTCTTATGATGACCACATTTGGAATGTTCTGGGTTTAGATGACAAAAGGCTTTCTATGCTTTTCTTTGTTTATTAAGGGAACGGCGTTACTGACTGTAGATCAGAGAAGATGGGAAGATCTGAAAAGCAGACTGAAGATAGCACAACCTCTTCATCTCCCACCTCGCCCGGGTATCAAAGATGCTCTGATTTCATTCATGTTGGGCACTAGTGTTCATGATTCCCCAGGAGTCTAAGATTTAAATTAAAATAATAATCGTGAGGCCACTAGGAGGTTGTGCATAAGTTAATGTAGAAACAGCCATCTAACTACAGATCTCTGCGTAAGGCTATTAAAACTAGCCGCCCAAAGGTTGTGCTTCAGTGCTTTTAGGATAAGCCTTAATGAAAAAAATGAATTTTTAAATAAAATGTATTTGTGCTTGCCTTTTAATAACGTGAGTGAAATATATTAACTTGACAGAAATGTGACTGTTCTCTCAGTATTAAAGGCTTCATGCAGTTGTTGTTTTTAAATATTCAAAGTTAGATTAAAACTGTAGCAGGGAAAAAAATGTTGAATGTCTTGAGATGATCATTAAAGCAAATGAAAAACAAGAAAGCAAATGTGACCCAGGACTAAAATGCCCTTGCAAAAATCCTTCTTTTGCAGATAATGATGGTTTTAGAGCTAAAATGTATGACATTACCCAGCATCCCTTTTTTAAGAGGACTATAGCTGTACTAGTCCTGGCTCAATCTGTGCTGCTGTCAGTCAAGGTACATTTTTTTTAATATATTTTGCTTCACACTATGCATTTGCAAATTATTTTTTCATTCATCCATCTAACTGAGAATATAGCAAGCTGCCATTCTTGTCTAAACATACCATATAAAAAAAAAAAAAGCTTCACCTAATAGGGAAGAGAAAAACCACCTTTAGGAAATCACATGGCTACATGTTGTTTCTTTTCCTATTTCAGTGGGATGTTGCAGACCCAGTGACTGTTCCTTTGGCAACAATGTCTGTTGTGTTCACCTTCATTTTTGTCCTGGAGGTATGGTAAAGGGCTTAAGACTCTCCAAGTGCTTTCTGCTCATTTCCGGTTATTCACTTTCATAGGGTATAGATTATGGAATCAGAATGTTAGCACTGTAAGGCCATGCCATCAAACCCCCTCATTTTTACAGAAGAAGAAACCAAGCCTCTCAGACAAGAACCTCTGTGATTTCCCCAAGTTGCAGAGCTGGCATTTGAACCCAGATTCTCTGATTCCAAATCCAGCTCTCTTTCCCCTGGACCACATCACCTTCCCTCATTTCATCATTGTAAGATGGAAGCTTTCAATGAAAATGGAAGTTTTCATTTCATTATTTTAAGAGAATTGTTTTTGAAAACACAGCATTAGAACATCTCCTTTTTAAAAATGGTGGCCTCCATTTATATAACGAATGCTCTCTTTTCCTTTTCCAACTGCCGAGACACCACTGTGGACTGCTGTGCCTGAGTCGTGGCAGTGTTAGTGATGTCAGCTCAAGTATTTAGAGCTAGCTACATAATCAGTGATTTAGGGTATTCAAAATACAGCAAGGAAAGCTGACTCATGGATTTGCTCTTGACAGAGCCAAGATTACCTTAAAATACATGTTGGTTGCACAATCACTACTCAATTTTTTAAGATCCTGGAATTTGTATTTCATAAACGTGTGGTGGTTGATGTTTCCTATCCCTATGGGTGCTTTACTTGAGGAAACAAAATATGCTGCTGTCTAAATTACAGAGGAGAAAAAGAGTGTGGAGGAATGACTCTTGCCATTAATGTAATTTATAGCTGATTCAATTTCTAATGAGTTCTTATTTTGCAGAAAGTGACTCATGTCTATGAGAAATACTTCCTTTAATTTACACAGACTTTCAGGGTTTTTTTTAATTTCCTAAAAATATTTCTTTTTATTTCCATTTAGTAGTAGACTCTACTTGTGCTTGGTAAATTAGAATTTTGCTAAAAATAAAAAATCAATCACGTTACCTGTCTTCATTGTTTACCAGGTTACGATGAAGATTATCGCCATGTCACCTGCTGGCTTCTGGCAGAGCCGAAGGAATCGATATGACCTCTTGGTGACTTCCCTTGGTGTCATTTGGGTGATCCTTCACTTTGCTCTCCTTGTAAGATCCCCACTTGCAATAATACTGTGTTGCGTATTATAATTAAAGCCAATCCCAGATTAAACTTGCAAATGGAGAAAAACCAAGGTATAGAAGAGGGAAAACACTGGATAATTCAGAAACTGCTTCCTTTGTCTCTGGAGTGTACACACACACACACACACACACACACACACACACACACACACACCCTCAGCCCCAGTGGCAGTGGCAGTGCCATGGCATACCATGGATAGTCTATGACATAAAGAACCCACCCATCTGCAAGCAGGAACTGACTCTATTAAGAAAATGCTGTTGGTAATATGTATCATGCTGCTTTCCTACAGAAGCAGAGCTCTCCCAGGATGAACTGTCACAGCCCCTAGGCACCAGCAGTTTTCCTCTGAATGCAATTCTCACTGTTGCTGGCAAATAGAGGGAGAAGGATCCTAGCAATTTGCTTCATACTTCAATGGATGAGGAGAAGCAATCTGTCTTTTTTTCTTCCAATGTATGCCCTAGAGAAAAGTCTCTAGGTCTGACCAAAGGCAGCACAGTTGCCTAGCACATAGTAGGTGCTCAATAAGCACTAGCTGACAGCCCCCTGCACACAGAGGACTACACATAGAAATTCTTAAACCTGATAAACTCACTCTCCTGTGATCACTTTCTTACGTTCTTCATTCAGAAACCATACTCGCTCAGCAACATACAGCTTAGAAATGATTATTTAAAAAGAGGTACCAAACCCCTTCTAGCCCACAAACATACACACATAAAATATATTCATAGATACAGATATGTTTCTCTTTGAGGACTTTACCAAGGAGGAGAAGTAGTATGATATGGTGGAAGGCATACTGGATTTGGATTCTGAGAGCCAGGGTTCAAATCCCAGATCTGTCAATTTTAGCCATCCCTGTGTGACTTTGGGCCATTCACTTTACTTCTATGAGTCTCAGTTTCCTCACTGGTAAAATAAGGGGGGTGGGCTACAATGTCTCTGAGGTACCTCCTAGTTCTAAGTTGATGATCCTGAAATCACATAGCTTTCTGGATCTGTGATCTTATGATAAATAGGATACTTCTTAAGTTTGTCTCTGACATTTGGTTAGGCTGACTTAATAAAGCACAGCTTTTTTTAGGAAGATGCAGCTTTTTTTATGAGAATGGTTATTAGAACTCTATCTAATGGAATATTCTCCTTCTAATAAGACAATTATTTAATTCATTGTAAAGTCACTTTTGGTCAACAAATAATGATTCATTGGATTGGCTGTGTCCTTAAAGGCTCATCTAGTCACCATCACTGAAAGGGCGTGTCATACCCAAATCAGCCTAGATTAATGAGCATCTGTCTTGTCTTTAAAGATTCTCAGAGAAGGAGAGGCCCTGATCTTCTTGGGTAATCCATTCTAATGTTAAACTACCCTCCTTTGTCGGGAATGTTGCTCTTATTGGATTTGGGGTCAGTAGACCCGAGTTCAAATCATCTCTCTTCAATATACTACTTGTGTGACCTTGAACAAACCATGTAACCTTTCTAGGCTTCAGTTTTCTAATCTGTAAAATGAGATGTTGGAACTAAATGATCTCTAAAGTCTCTCTCAGCTCTAAATTCTGTGATCCCTTATATTTCATCACAAGATCCTCTCCTCGTAGGGTCAATAGAAAGAAAAACTATGTCTTCACCATCTCCTCTATTCATCTGTACATTCCATGAAGGCAGGGGCTGCACCCTATCACAACTTTGAATCTCTCCCTAGTACCTAGCATAGTGCTTTGCACACAGGAAGCACTTAATAAATGATTGTTAAATGCTTATTTTATATAATAACCCCTCAATATAAAAGTCACCTAAGCAAAACAGAGCCCCGAGTCTCATTTATTATTTTCATTTTATGTATAATATTTATTCATGAGATGTGACAGTGACCTTTTCAGAACCTTCTTAGACAAATTTCCTATATGAATTTCCACATTTTATTAAAGCAATTTTTCAGCAGACTTCTCAGATGGCTTCAAATGAGAAATGGAACTGAAACTGGAACAAAATCTCTTGTGCAAATTACAGAAGTCTCTCTTCTATTTAAATTCCAGAATGCATATACATATATGATGGGGGCTTGTGTGATTGTCTTCAGGTTTTTCTCCATTTGTGGAAAACATGTAAGTATCTCATAGAAGGGACAGTCTAATGCAGAATAATGTGTGTGACCCCCAAAGTATAGCATTAGTTATAAAATAAGCAAACTTTCATGTTTTAAAGCTATTATATAATGGTTCTAGTGCTATCTAAAAAAACATGATTAATATTTATTGCTACTGGAAAGAGTCAGAATGGCTCCTTACTCCTCTAAGAGAACGTTTGGACAGTGCTTTTTTCCTGTATTGGTTTGGCTAAGTTAAAGGGACCAAAAATTGTCTGAAGAGCTAGCAGCCAGAAAAAAAAAAAAAAAGAAGTGCTAGCCAGTCATGTGAAATGAAAGGCTAGAGGTGTGAAATAATGGAGAAGTCACATTGCCGATTGTTGGTACTTGGTCTCCACTAATAGGAAGGTTTTGAAATAGATATGGTGGGAAATATAAATACAAACTACATGTGAGTCATCTAATACCTTAACGTCATCATGTCATTGTCAGGACTGCACAGATAATGCCATCATGCTGTTCTTTGAGAATAGGTATTATTTTATTTTTGTATTTGTATCCAAACACATAGCTCAGTGCCTGACACATAGTAGGTGCTTAATAAATATTTATCGATTATCATTTAATATTCACCCTAAATGCACGCCAAAACATCTTATCATTCCTTTTATACGTTGGCACTGATTCAAGCAAAGCATGCTTTGGTTGCTATTCACATACAGAAACCTTGAGAATCTGTTTTATGACAATCTGCTTAAATAAAATGCCCTTCCTCCCGCAGCTCTTCTATATGATTTAGTTATGGTCTTCTTCCTGTTTGCAGGTAACACTGAAGATGCTCCTTTTGACAGTGGTTGTCAGCATGTACAAAAGCTTCTTTATCATCGTGGGGATGTTTTTATTGCTGCTGTGTTATGCTTTTGCTGGAGTTGTTTTATTTGGAACGGTGAAATACGGAGAGAACATTAACAGGTTGGCATATCCAGTATCTATTTACTTTCTTAATGAAGTTTATCCCCATTTTTATATACATAAGCATGTGACTAGTACTATAAAAATCTGTGGTTGGTTGGCTGTTTGTTTGGGTTTTTATCTAACAGAGACTAAGAAGGACAAAGGTAATAAATGAGAAGCCAAAAGAGAAGAAAGCTGACAGAATAAGGCATAATCATGTTATGTAAAAACCTTGTGACTTTTTTTTCCATTGAAAACTTAGCACATAAAAGCCCCAACCTTGAGTATGCACTGCATTGAGTCTGTATTTCAGTGCAAAAAAAATAAAACTTTAGACATAATTTTGAATTTTGTCTAGACAATAATCACTAAGTTTATAGAGACAAGAGAGATGTGATTATTGTTTTTGTTTCATCAACTTGCATCTTGATCGGGAAATTAAGTTCAATATAAGTGACTGTGCTTTGCTACACTGAGTCTGCCTTCACAGATTTCCTTGCATCTGTTCCCCTCTTCCTACTCATAATGGCATAGGCCCTCATTATCTCTCATTGAGACTAGTGTCATAGACTCCAAATTGGTCTCTTTGACTAAAATCCTTCTTCTCTCTAATCTATCATTCAAACAACCAGTGGTGCAATTTTTCTAAACCACAAGACTATCTATGGCACTGCATTGCTAAGGACCTTTTAATAACTCCCTATTACCTCTAGAATAAATGAAAAAAATCTTCTTAGCCATGCATCTAAGCTTTTACAGATCCTAGCCCCAGTGCTCCTTTACAGTCCCACCAAGCTGAACTATGTGTTCCCCAAACTCAACATATCACCACTGGAAACTCTACATTTGGGCAATTCATTCTTTAGACTGGAAATGCATTACCTTCTTATCACCACCATTCAAAATCCTTACCTTCCTTTGAGGGCAAATTACACTGCTATCTCCTCCAAGAAGCCTTCCTTGTTCTCCCTTCCTCTGACCCTCAGCTGCAAGTGATATCTATCTCCTGAGGTTGCTTAGAGATCTTTACCTAAGACTTTCTTTTGCTCCCACTGTTTCCTACTCTGTGTTATGATTACTCATGAAATATCTTGTGTTATTTTTCTTCTTTTTCTACCTAGAACTTAGGACATAGTAGGCACTTGTAAATATTTATTATGGCATTATATTTTTCAATTTGACTCAAATGTTGTGTATTCAGCCCTTGCTATACATAAAGCACCATAAAGTGTCAGATGTGAGTTTAAATATGACATGAGACATTCACCTCTTACAAACCTGTTTGCCTCAGTTTCCTCATCTGTAAAATGGAGATAATAATATCTTCCTCCTAGGGTTATTGTGAGAATCAAATGAGTTAATATTTGTAAAGCACTTAGCATAGTGCCAGACACGGAATAAGTATTATATAAATGTTTTTAGTAATTATTATTATTATTATGCTAAATACTAAAAGTGATGCGTAGATACTTCAAAAGACACTATCAAGATGCTATCAAGAAGCTTACAGTTTATTAGGTGAGATAAGAAAAAATAGAGTACATCACCACATCCACTGATATGGATATTTCCTCCCCTGGTACAGTGTCTAACCTATTCATGCCTCCTTATCCTGTGAAATTCTTACCTATATCCTTCCAGTGATTCTCCATGGGGACATTCTACAACTTGATGGAAGCCTTCCAAGTCTCCATACTATAGCAATCTTTCCTTCTGTCATCCTTTGCTCTTACTACATGGCCAGACTACCTTATTCTACAATGTATTTCTAAGATTATATGTTTTGCACAGGGCAGGTAGGGAGCACAGTAGAGTGCCAGGCTTGAAGTCAGGAAGACTCATCTTCCTAGCCTCACACACTAGCTGTGGAACCCTAGGCAAGTCACTTCACCCTATATGCCTCAGTTTCCTCATATGTAAAATGAGCTGGAAAAAGAAACGACAAACTACTCCATTATCTTTGCCAAAAAAAAAAACCCCAAATGAGGTCATGAAGAGTTAGATACAACTGAATAATAACATCTTTTGTGTGCTTATTATGCAGATTATTATTGGAATAGTCTGAAGGCTATTAATTCTCACCATGTGCAGAATGTGGTGGGTATCATGACAGGGATGCAGAGCTAGGAAAAATTTAATGGAGGATCTAGCAATTTCAAGATAGACATTAAAGAAAGATTAGGATTTCATCAAGCAGAGATGCTAAGGGATAGATTATTTTGGGACAATGTGAAAAGATGTGAAAGAACAGGGCATATCTGAGGGGAAATTAATAGTACAGAGGAAGCAGAGTATATGGTAAGACTTTTGGATGACCTTGGACAAGCCATTTAATTTCTCAGACCTGAGTGTCATCATTTTTAATATATGAGAGATAAGCTTTGAGGTCCCTTCCAAATATAAATCTATTATCCTATAATTTAGTTCATCTGGAACACGTAACCTACCACAAGCAATACTGGAGAAAAGCCTGCAAAGATATGTTAACACCATATTTTTTGCTGTTGTTCAGTCATTTCAGTTGTATCTGACTCTTCATGACCGCATTTGGGGTCTTCTTGGCAAAGATACTGGAGTGGTTTGCCATTTCCTTTTCCAGATCATTTTACAGATGAGGAAACTGAGGTAAATAGGGTTAAGTGACTTACCCAGGGTCACACAGCTAGTAAGTGTCTCAGGCCAGATTTGAATTCGGGAAGATGAGTCTTTCTGGCTTCATGCCCAGCACTCTACCCATTGTTCCACCTAGCTGTTCTAAGGCCATATTTTAAGTGGTCATGAATACCAGGATAAGGAATCTGGACTTTTTCCTATATGGAATCATTGAAGTTTCTTGAGTAAGTTAGAACCACAATCTATAGTTTAGAAGATGAATCAGGGGAGCACGGGATTCAGTAAGTCCAAGGACACCAACTACTATTTGAGAAAATCCACTGGAAAAAATTCAAAAACAGTTTGGCTTAAGTTTACACCATCATTTCTCACCATATGCCACAATAAATTCAAAACCAACACATGGCCCAACTATAAAAGGTCATGTCATTAAGAAGAGACATCTTTCACAGCTGTGGATAGAGGGAAAGTCACAGACCAAAAAAGGATAGAAATGATCACAAATGATAAAATGGACAATTTGGATCACATAAAAAATTTTAAAGTTTTTATATAAACACAATGAATGTAATTAGACTAATAGTTAACTAGAAAAAAATCTTTGCAGCAAATTTCTCTGATAGAGGTCTGATATCCAAAAGCTTTGAGGGAAAGAGACAAATAGATAAGAATGAGTGCCATTCCTCACTAGATAAATGGTCAAAGAATGTGAACATACAGTTCCCACAAAAAGGAATATGTGCTATCAACAGTATAAAAATTGCTTCAAATAATTAATAGTAAGAGATATGCACATAAAATAATTCAGATTCTATCTCTTAACTGTAACATTGTCAAAGTTACCAAAAAAAAAATCAATTAATAGAGGGCCTGTGAGGCACACTTAGGCTGCTAAGTGGTGTAACAGTTCTTGAAAAAGAAAACTTGGAACTATTCCCCCAAATTACTAATGTATGTAATACCCTTTAACCTCTAGATACTTTGATGGAGAGAGAGAATGAATGAACGTTTGAGGAATATGTAGTTTTTCAATTTAGTAGAAGTATAAAGTATGTGAGGTGATGTAATGTGAATTTAAGTTAGAAAGAAAAACTGGTACTCAATCCTGGAGGGGCTTGCATGCATGGCTAAGAAGGGTGAGGGGAAAGATAACGAGTTTGATTTTGGACAAGTTAAATTTGGTGTGCTTAAGAGGCATCCAGGAGGAGATGTCTAGCAAATAATTGATGTAAGATTTGCTCTCAGGAGAAAGTTACTGACTTGACAAGGATTGTTGAGGGTAGGGAGAGAAAGAGAGGGCAGAGTCAAAAAATGATGAAAGATTTCAAACCTAGATGGTACAGTAACAAAAATAGATAATTAACAAGATGAGGAATGTTGGGGAGGGAAGAAAGATGAGTTCAGGTTTGAACATGTTGAGTTTCTAAGACTGGAGCTCAAGAGCAATGTTGAAGCTAGAGATGAGTTGTGGGGGACTGCTAATAAGTATAAGTATAGTAGATAGAATAGGGTGACCCATGGGACACAGAAGTGGAAAAGGATTTAGGTGCACCTTGGTACAGAGTACAAAAACTTACCCTGGATTGCTCCCATGAAATGCTAGAAATAAAAGAGAACAGGTGATTTTACTAGAACTTCTTCTAGACCAGGACTTTTTAAGATCTTTTTGTGTCATGGACTCCTTTGTGTTGCCTGTGGGCTTTTTCTCAGAGTAATTGGTTTTTATTTTTATCATAAGTGAAAGAAATTCTAAATTTTAACTAGTGGTTAGTGAAAATGAAGATATAATTTTTTTCCACTCAAGTTCACAGACCCCCTCAAATCTGATAGAAGTGGGATTGGGATCTTGAGGAGTGTCAAAAAGGATTGCAATAGGTCCCACAGGAAATTCAAAAAGGATTCCACAGTAAGAGGATCTGCTGATATTAGCATGAATTTCCAGTCAGGACACTACAGAAAGGCTTGGCATCCCATCTGCAGGAGGGGAGGAATCAGTGGCCTGTAAATTCAACCTTTCTGTAAGCACAGCGGTAAATACAATGGCCATGAAATGGACTGTTTGTTAAAATACCCCTATATAATTTTCAATCCATTTGTGTTGTTATATGTTGGCACATTACATGTAGAAATGGTCCTTATAGGTAAGGGAGAAATATGAAGACAATTGTGGTATACTGAAAAGAGTGCTGGCTCTAGAGTCAAAAGGACCTGAGTTCAAATCCCACCTTGACCTTTACTTCTTGTATGACCTTGAATAAGTCCCATTTTAACCTCCCTTGGCCCCACTTCCTTCATCTTCAGAAGGTTTTGACACACATGACCTCTGAGGCTCCTTCCAGTTTTAGGTTTATGATCTCATGAACCTGTGCTCAGTTAAAACCTGCCAGAATTTCTCCATAGCAAGTTATACATCTGAAATTTTTCTGTTTCTCTTTAAAATGAAATAGGCACGCAAATTTTTCCTCAGCTGGAAAGGCCATTACCGTGCTCTTCCGAATAGTCACAGGGGAAGATTGGAACAAGATTATGCACGACTGTATGGTAAATATGACCTAATCACGGACGCTGCTTTAATTTGAATCAGGGTGGATCCAATCAGCAATTGAGCATTTCACAGTAGCATTGTTTCTTTGTATATATGTATATATAAAACTGGTCCTGATATCTTTGCCTTTAAACTTTAGATTTGCCAACTGGTATTTCTTGTCACATACACTTTTTTTCTGTTCTAAAATTGGCTCTATTGTTTAAGTCAGACAAACAAAAGATCCCTTACTTCTTTGCCTGTTTGTATGAATGGCCACTAATCAACTGGGATGGGGATCAGATTTCCTCAGTACAAACTTTTAATCCAGTTGAATGCATGTGAGACTCTTCAATGTGAGAGACATAAATACAAAAAAAAATCCTTTTATTATCAATAAAATTGATAAGGTGACCAGAATGTGATCATCTTTAAAGATGGCTGTGACATTTATTACGTCTTGTTTGTTCAGGAGCTTTTTTTTTTTTTTTTTTTACTAAATACAGTCAATTAATTAAAGATTTTTGTAATCTTTCTCCTTCTCCCCCAAAAAAGGTTCAGCCTCCATTTTGTACGCCAGATGATTTCAAATACTGGGCAACAGACTGTGGAAATTATGCTGGAGCACTTATGTATTTCTGTTCATTTTATGTCATCATTGCCTACATCATGCTAAATCTGCTTGTTGGTAAGTGATATTCTTTGAATATAAAATCATTTACCTCTTTCAATTCAGGAACTAAGATAATTGTACATAATTTTCAAGTAATTATCTGGGATTGCTTGGGGTGGATATTTCACAGTGTTAATTATAAAGTGTTGACTCTTAATCTGAAAGCTGAAAAATCATCTCATAGGTATGTAAATGAAAATTGATTACAAATTCAAAAGCTGCACAATTCAGTATAAACTTTAATTTTAACACAGTTGCTCAGGTAATAAACATTATAGTTTGTGGGTTTTGGGTTAATGTTCTTAAACAAACATTTGTGAAGGTCTACCTTGGCATCCCCAAAATAATACATTTTATCTTTGGGATGACTAATTTTACTCACCTAGCTGTGAGACCACCCAGAATATAACTTGGCCTTTTCAGTTCATACTGGCACCCCCAAGTAAGGGAAGAAGCCAGTTGGCAGGAAATTGTGTACACAGAATCTGTGTTTGTTCTTGTGACCCTCATGTTTTGGAAAGACAGGAGCTTGCATAAATAGCCTGGTTCAAAATTAAAACATGCCAACTTGGAGACCAGAGTAAGACCACTTTGGAAATTTGGCCTATAATATTGGTGACAAAATTCATTATGTTTAATGTGCTTTACTTTTCTGAAAGTCATAGAAAATTAGGTGAAATGTTTAATTGTAGTTTTTTTTTTTCCTTTTAGCTATAATTGTGGAGAATTTCTCTTTGTTTTATTCCACTGAGGAAGATCAGCTTTTAAGCTACAATGATCTTCGCCACTTTCAAATCATATGGAATATGGTAGATGATAAGAGAGAGGTAGGAAATTTGATGATGCTGTTTTGTGTTGTAAATTCTTTCACATTTCAACCCCCAAAAGCATTTATTGTAATGCCTCAACCATTCTGCTATCCTCTCTGCTGGTAATTGAAATGCACAATATCTTGATTGGCTCAGTAGGGAATCACTGACATTTTAAATCAAGAATTCATCAAGATCTGCTTTTTTTTTCCCGTGGGTATGAGAAAATCCTAAGAAATGAGACCTCATCTATAAAGAATCTAGTGAAATATCTTTGTTATATTATCTAAAACCCTCACCAGAGCTTGAGTTAGAGAAAAGAAAAAAAAACAGAAATGGGATGCTTCTCTTCCATGCCCCATCCTATTCCAAACCTTGAGAAGAAAGAGGAAAATGAAAGAAAAAGACAAGAAGCCAAAGGAACTTAAGATAAAGTCTATCAAAAGCACTTGTTTGCAGTGTCTCAGCTTCACCTTTATCTCTTTTTCCACCCTGTTGGTACCCTTATTCCTCCAACAAGTAAACAGCTCCTTCAGGATATGATTGCCCAAGTTCCTCCATTGAGGTTCCCAACCCATACCTGCCCTTCCCCTATATATGGGGGACATCAACATTTCTTTCTCTAGGCTCCTACTGTCAAACTGACTAGTTTTCCACCCTGCTCTTAACTAGCTAACACAGTGGAAAGCTGTTTCCTGCCTCGTAATAGCTTAATGCTTAATCCCAGTGCTTTCTGCCTCAATGAAAGTATATGCTTTTGCCCAAATGAATCATAATTGATAAATTTTATGCCTACCTTGACCTAGGTCAATTGTAAATAATCATTCCATAAATACAGAGGACTATGAAATAATATTTGATGATAAAAATAATAATAAAAATCTATAAATATGTTCTTCAATGTCACCACACCAGATACATGTAATCTGCAATCTGTATGGAAGGAAAGCTTTCAAAATACAAAGACGAGGGGCAGCTAGGTGGCACAGTAGATAGAGTACCGGCCCTGAAGTCAGGAGGACCTGAGTTCAAATCTGACCTCAGACCAAACACTTCACACTTACTAGCTGTGTGACCCTGAGCAAGTCACTTAACCCCAATTACCAAAAAAAAATTTTTAAAAATACAAAGACCAAGAAATAAAAATCAAAAATGTGGGAACAGGTTGAGGTACATGTTGTCTACAGAAAATGAGCTATTATCCCACTACTTTATTCAGTAACAAAAAGCAGCTATTTTATTTACTTTTGTGCAGATTAAACATAAAAGAACATGTCCCAGGACCATTTCTATCTGAACTCCATTGAAAATTATGAGAACAAGCTAATAAACGCTACAGCCAATATAAATGTGAGTTATTTAGAGCAAGCAAATGAGCACTTATTATGCCCTTACTATGTTCCAAGAACTGGAAATACAAATAAAAGGATGCTAGACAGTCACTGCCCTCAAAGAGCTTACATTATAATGGGGAAAGACAAAATAGTAAAAAATTAGAGGAGAGGGAGAATACATGTGATAGCATGGCAGGAGATGTCTGAGAAGTGCTATGGAAGCCAGAGACCTAACAAAATAATGCCAAAGCTGACCTATCAAAGTCCAGGGAGATTTGAAGCATGGAGCATAATTTTCCAGTGGGGAGGGAGTGGAGATGATGACTCAGTTGAAGACATCAAAGCTAGATATGTCCAGGAAGTGCAAAAATTATTTCTTCTCAACAATCAATATAACTAATACAAGTAGTATTGTCCCTATTTTATAGATGAGAAAATTGAGGCCCTGACAGATTGCATAACTTGACCACAGTCATAGAGCTAGCAGGTAGAACTACAAGTCTATGGTTCCTTCCCATATATACTGCTGTAAATTCTTCAAGCAGAAAATCTATAATTAATATTTAAAAGTTCTGAATGTTAGGAATAACTGAAAAGAAAATCATTCTTTTTAGTTGTTTATGTCTTTGTAATTATACCCAGGACCAACTTATCAATGACCCACTCAAAGAGTATTAAGAGAAATCAGAAGAGAATGAAACCAGTAGGAAGGCCACTGGCTAACAGCATAAAAGCCTGGCTGACACAGTATACAGGGGAACAAGAGTTTCCTTACTTGCTTTGAGAATCCACATTGCTGTATGTGTCCTGAAGAATGAGGAGAGAAGCATCCAACAGAATCTCGCATTAACATCTGATGCCCACCTTAGAATATATAATACATGTAAATGTAAAGTTTAGTAAAGCAATGAAACATAGCTATTATGGTATCCTTGGAGAAATAGTTTCTATTGTGTACCTGAAACAGAAGTCTGAGTGAATTACTCTCTTCTAATGATGATTTACAAGTTATTGCACCATGTTATTTCAGGGGGTGATTCCAACTTTCCGAGTGAAGTTTCTGTTGAGGCTGCTTCGAGGGAGGCTTGAGGTGGATCTTGACAAAGACAAACTTTTGTTCAAGCATATGTGTTATGAGATGGAGAGGCTGCATAATGGTGGTGATGTCACCTTCCATGATGTGCTAAGGTACCGAGTCAGGTTTTCACTACAGGAGCACTAATCATCCTCTGAATTAAATCCTCAAAACAAAATTGTGTATTCAGATCTATTTTAAATATAGGATCACAGAGCTAGAGGGTGTTTCAGAGGCCACCCAGTTCAATCATTCCCCCTATTTTGTTTTTTTTAATTGACAAAAAAATTTCTTCTCTCCCTCTTACCCTGTCTCTAACTAATAAACATATTCATAACCAGTTATGCTGTCTTAGTTATGAATAGGGTCATATTCCTCCTGGAGGGTAAATTGAGCATTTACTTAATGGCCTATAGGATAACCTGTGCTCTTCATCATAGTCTAATGATGACCTACAAGTTGTTGAACAATGCTGGAGGAGTGAGCCGATACCCTGGGGAAACTCTGATTAATGGCATGGTACTGTAGGAATTTGCCCAACCTGCTTTGTGAAGATAGGCCATTTCTGTTAAAATATATGTAGGGAATTTTTATCAGCAGGGGAGTATCCACACGTAAAAATGTCAATATAAAAATAGCTAAGGCTCTAAATGTAATAATATGTAATTATCTTCAAAACATTCAGCAATTCCACTTCTAGATAGCTCTAATAGTCAGAAAGTTTTTCCTTATGTCAAGCCAAAACTGCATCTCTATAACTTTTTACCATTGGTATTAGGTCTAGAAATCTAACCCTTCTTCTACGTGACAATCTTTCAAATGCAAAGATTGTTGTTGTATTACTATGAGTCTTTTTCTAGGTTAAATATTCCCAGTTTCTTCAATTGAGCCTTTAAGGGATATTTTTAGTCTTCTCAGCATCCTCATTGGCTTTTTCTGCACATATTCCAACTTCAGTGTCCTTTCTAAAGGACGCTTTGGCAACTAGCAACTAGACCTATACAGAGTACTCCAGATGAGGCCAGGGCAGGGTACTCTAGAATTATAACTCCTCTCTCCCCTTCTGAACAACTTAAAGCCTGAGAATGTCATTGTTCTCGGCATTATCACACTACTGATTCCTATTAAATTTGTAGTTCACTAAGTCTTTCTTCCCATGAAATGTTATCTGTAGCTATCTGTTTCCCATCCAGTATATAGCAGATTGTTGAACACAAGTATAAGACTTTATATTTATCCCTATTAAATTTTATCTTACTGGACACATCTCATTATTCTAATGATGCCATGCTCTTTGTGGTCTTAATTCTGTCATTCAGTAAATATTAGATACCTCCTACCTTCACCTTGGGCAGCTAGGTGGTGCAATGGATAGTGTATCAGACCTGGAGTTAGGAACTCATCTTCCTGAGTTCAAATCCAGCCTCATAGCCGTGTGACCCTGGGCAAGTCACTTAACCCACTCTGCCTCAGTTCCTCATCTGTCAAATGAACTGGAGAAGGAAATGGCAAACCACTCCAGTATCTCTGCTGAGAAAATCCCAAAGGGGGTCATAAAGAGTTGAACATAATTGAAAAATGACCGAATGACAATAATGAACTTTCATCTCATCAGCAAATTTTATGAGTATGCAGAACCTTTGAGTAATCTACTTGAAATTTATCGATTTAATATTGGTTCCAGACATTCACAAAGTTCTGAATCCACCTTCCCATGTCTCGCCATTTTTTCACATACATATCATGAAAGATATCTCCAAATGACTTCCTGAAAATATTGTTAAACTTTATCTATAGCATTCCCTTAATCAATTAGTGTAGGAATTTTCTAAAATGGAAATGGGATTAAGCTAGCATGACCCATACATAATGTATTTAGGCTAGCTTAGAGCAATCACTGCTACCCTTTTTAAATGCCCACAAACCATTCTTTGAATATGCTTTCTAAAATTTAGCAAGGAGTCAAGATTAAGTTCAACACTTTCTTCCCATTTGTTGAAAAGTTGGAAAATTTGTTTCCAATTTTGAGGCACCTTTCACATTCTAAAAGAATGTTATAAGGTTCTTTTGAGATTATATAATCTATCCTCTTTTTTTTTTTGAGAGAGAGAGAATGAAAAGTGACTTGACCATTTTAGGTCACATGGTCAATTGCGGGTAAAGCTGGAAACAGAGCAGTCCGGTTCACTTCTTGTTGATACCATGATGTCTTCTGGTATCCTTTGCCCCATGTTAATGTCATTCTTTTCCCCATCAGTATGTTGTCATACAGATCTGTTGACATCAGAAAAAGTTTGCAGTTGGAGGAGCTCCTTGCTAGGGAGCAACTGGAGTACACCATAGAAGAAGAGGTGGCCAAGCAGACTATACGGATGTGGCTGAAGAAGTGTCTAAAGCGCATCAGAGCAGTGAGTTGAACAGGAAGCGCATCTGTTTTTATTGTTTGCTTTTTCTTTCCTTTAGAATGGGAGAGAAAAAGGGAAAGTAATATTAACTACTTATGGTTCTAAACCTTTGAGGACCAAGAGCCAAATTCTTTTCTGACCAATCTCTGAACTCTTTCTTGAGTATGTAGCCTAATCTAGCCCATTTGATTCTATCTACTGATGACAAAGCTAATAATTATTCAAAACTTAATTTTAGTTAAATTAAAGGTCCTGCTTTCTTTAGAGCAGCAGTCCACTTCCAGCTTGTTCCAAAAGCTTGCACTTTGTAACTTCATTGAATGAGGGTGCTTAAATTTAGAGACTTTCTTAAAATAATTTTACAAGGAATGACTATTTGAAAAAGTAGTTATGTTAAAACATTTGCTATTTGTTTGATTAAACAATTGAGAGAAACACCAATAGAACCCATGTATTAACTACCCATAGCTTTTTGGCAAATAAATTCTATTTATCACTGAAGAGGCTTTCAGCATAATGTTGGTAATGTTGTTTAATTTCTAGGAAAGGCAACCTGCCTTTAGAGTTTCCCATTTTACTCTGTCTTCAACCCTAGTGCCTGAAATATCTGATTTTAACACCATGCTCTTCGTGAATTAATGTTTTTTGATCGATATCCTGTGAATATACTCTACACTTAGGAAGTTCATGTCACTTATGTGACTGGACTTAGGAGCTGTTATGATGCCAGAAGCTTTAAACCCACCTAAGATTTTGGACAGGCAATTCAAATTAGGTACTTGGTGTTTCTCTATGGTATACATTTTTCACCTTATTTTCAAAGAGAAGCATAGTCCTCAGAAATGTCAGAATAGTACCTACCTATTGGGAAATGATGATGAGAAAAAGAACAATAATAAGAATTAGGATTTACATATTGTCTTGCAAAGCACTGTATATGTTATTTCATTTGATCAATATCTAAATCCTAGATAAAATCTTGCTTGGGATTTCCAAAATCAAAACAGTCTACAGTAAGGCCAATATAAACACCCAGACAAATACTGTGTCATAGACCCATTCATGTATTTTGGCCTATCCACATAGATATAGCATTCCATCAATAAGCACTGATTAAGCTCCTACTGTATGCCAGGCACTGTGCTGGGTACTGAGGATACAACTACAAAGAATGAAACAACCCCTTCTTACATCCTAATGGAGGAGACAAGTATATAAATTCAAGTGGCAGAAATATAAAATGAATAAATACAAATAGATAAGAAGTAGTTAAATATAAGTTTGTTTGGTAGGGGGGGTCAGGAAAGACTTCATATAGAAGATGATGCTTGAGCTGGATCTAAAAATAAAAGAAGGGATTCTATGAGGTGGAGGTAAGGAGAGAGAGTGCATTCCACACATAGGGAAAGGCCAGCAAAAGAGAGATCAAATGTCATGCATGGGGAACAGAGAGAAGGCAAGTAAGACTGGATTAGTGTGTGTGTGTGTGTGTGTGTGTGTTGGGGGCTGGGGGTGCTATTGTCCAATAAGATTCAAAAGATAATTTAAGGCCTAATTGAAAAAGGGAAGTTTGGGAGAGGAAGAAAAGAAAATGAGTTCAGTTTTAGACATGTTGAATTTGAGATGTCTCTAGGGCATCCAGTTTAAAATGTCCAAAAGGCAATTGGTGATGTAGGACTGAAGCCCAAAGGAGACAGTGGGATTGGATAGACACATACAAACAGGAAAAACAGACACTTCATATGCATGTATGCAAACACAGATGAATCACCTGCATAGAAATGATCATTAAACCCATGGGAGCTGATGAGATTATCAAGTAAGAGAATGTAAAGGGAGGAGAGAAGAGGGACTGGGAGAGGACCTTGAGAAAACACTCACAGTTAAGGAGTTTGATTATGAATGATGAGCCAGCAAAAGTGACTAAGGAGTGTTCAGTTTGGTAGGAAAACTCAGAGAGGAGAGGTCACCCATCAGGATAGGGTGGTCAACAGTTTCAGATACAAGAAGAAGGATGAGGACTGAGAAAAGAGTGTGAGATTTGACAATGATGGGATCAGTACTAACTTTGGAGAGAAGAGTTTCAGTTGAGTGATGAAGGATAATAGGCATGGAGGAGGCAAATGGTAAGAGGAATCCAAGGTTGAGGTTTGGAAAGAGGTCAGTGGCAACAGGACAAGGAAGCTAGGAAGTAAAGATCAGAGGACATTGTAGAGTTGAAATTTTTAAACTTTCCTCATTGGAGAGTGAGGAATGAGTGAAGTCAGAGCAAGAGTCATGGCCTCCACAAAAAGTACTGATGGGTTGAGGGACTGGAGCTCTGGATGACAACAAAGAGTAAGTTTAGGAGGGATGAGAGTAAGGGAGATGTAGGATGATAGGAAATTATATATTGTGGAGCCAGGAAAGTTTAGGAGGTCTGTAACAGACTATGGGTCTGACTCACCTTCAGGTCATCCAGGCTTCAAAAAGTGCCAAAAATAATCTAAGAATTCTCTCTTGCTCTGCAAAGAGAACCTGGGTCAGAACAGCTCTAGTCCTTCCCATCTGCCATGGTCTTATTAACTTTCTAGTTCATCTAGATTGGAAATGACTTGAGTCTAGGCAAGACTAGACTACCTAAAGCCAAGACACTGAGAGTGGAATAGTAAAATAAAACAAGGAGGGGGAAAAAAACAAACAATAATAATGTACATAGGCAAATGTATACTAAGTAAAATACAATCTGAGATCAATGTAGACAACTATTCAAATTTTTATGCAAATGGCATGAAAGGAGATAGAAAATATTATTTAGGTCAGCTGGAACCTTATCTCTAAAAATGTTCATGACAGCAAGTTAGAAGATGAGATTATAAAAGTCTTGACAAAATGGAACTGTGACCCAAGTGATGGCTGCTGAGTAAGGCTTTTTTTTTTCCTCCCTTATTAAAATAACTGTCTGGGTGTATCCTCATAGATACACACACACATACATTTTTTTTTCTGCCTTAGAAACAACAGCAGTCATGCAGCATCATCCACAGTCTTCGAGAGAGTCAGCAACAAGAGCTGAGCAAGTTTCTGAATCCTCCTAGCATTGAGACAACACAGCCAAGTGAAGACATGAATGCTAATAACCAAGATAATAACATACAGCCAGAGGTATGTGTCCTTATCAATACCTATTTTTACAAAAAAAAAAATCTACTACTACTGGTCACAAAACTGCTTCAGACAAAATGCCAATATTCCAAATAGCTGATTTTGAAGGGAGAAAAATAGAAAATACTCACTAAATATTATTGTTCAAGTACCTACTGATCCAGAGCTTTCCAGTTTGTATAATGCTAGGGACCAGTTAATGCTGTTTTAGGAAGTGCCTAATTGTTATGGTTATCAAAGTGAGACTCAGTGTCCTAAAGTGATAGTTATGTCAGCTTTAGGCTAGGATTAATGACACCCCTACAAGTGCTCAATTTGTTTCCAGGGAGTGCTTCATGTCTTAAGAAAACTTACCTCATCTACCCTAGATACTAAGAAATATTTTCATTCCACTCACCAAGTCATATGAACTTCTTCTAAAGACAACGAAAAGCTTTATAATTGGCTTCCAACATACTTAAGTGGGAAAATACACTGAGGACTCATTCTTCCTTGGCAGGGCATTGGGATAGCATATGGATATACAGCAGAAATTATCTCTAGGACCTACTATTACTAGGACATAGCATAATTTCATCTATAAACCCAATCATTTACAAGTCTATTAAAAAAAAAATACAGACAGTAATCAAAATCCTGGAGAGACTCATGCTATTAGGAACAGCTGGCAAAGAAATCCTATTCCTTCCCATCAGCCTTTGTGTTGTTGCAATTGTTATTTGAGGTTAATGATCTGGAGTAAATTCAGCATTTTGAGAAGGGTTCTCTGATGACACAACAGCATTGTGGTGTATTTACAGCCTCATCAGGTTCTAGAGATAAACCCATCAGCCTAAAACACAGTAGACCAGTAGGATGCCCCCATTGTACTATGGGCCAGATACAGGTATATCCTTTGTACTTTCAGAATAACATAAACTATCGGTTACTACCAGTAGGGTGATGCTGACCACAGAGACTTTTACTGATAACTAGAATTGCAAAAAGTTTCTCAAGGTAGCGGTCACTTGTGCTAAAGTCTTCTAACCCATTTGCCTGAGTTACCTGGTCTGAAGCAGCATGGTGTAGTAGATAGAAAGCTGACCTTGGAGTCATTAAGACCTGAATTCTAATGTTACCTCTGAAACATACTAACTGTATGACCAAGGGCAAGTTGCCTCTTGGTGCTCTGGGCAACTCTTAACAGTTAACCATCCACATCAGAGGAAGGGGTTCCTTATGCCAATGAAATCATGGGTTCAGAACAACAACAAACCTATAGACAAAAATCTAGACTAAAATAGCCAGCCAGATAGCTGGCAAGAGACAGGCAATGAAAGGACAGGGTCATGAGCAGGAAGGGACATAAAGGAAAGTAAAGGGGGACTGCAAATGATTATTTTTTTTCATGACGGAAAGGGCCATTGTTGTAAAAGAAAGCAGAAAGGGGAATTTGCAGGGGGACGAGGCTGAAGTTGCAGAAAAGCTGGAATTTATGAGAGGAAAGGATAGGAAAGAAAAGATGGGAGTGGAGGATTAAAAAAGACAAATTCACCTCTGCCAACCAGAGCATCTTCCAAGTCCTAATTTCTGGAATGCAGATAACTCAATCAAACTGGTCTGATCACCCATATTCTCACTGAATGTATGCCCAGCAAATATACTCCAGTAGCAAACAGATAAAGTCTAGTAAGACCTTTAAGAAAAAAAATGTAAGAAAAGGTAGTGTATGGAGAATATCCCTTCCTCAAATTTAGACCAAGGGTCTCTTTTCCTTTCCTTGATACTTTTACTTGATACTTGATACATTCTCTTGCTTTGTTTCTTCCTCATGCTACTAATCCATCTTCCTTGCCTCTCCATAGTTCATTTTCTTCCTGTTTTTCATCTCCTTTCTTTGTATGGAAGTCGATTCAGAACATGGCAGATCTCTCTAACCCAGAGCAATCTTTTAAACCAGCCATGGGCTGAGATGGTGGTTCAAATAGGTAGACATGGGGAAGAGAAAGGAACTCAGTGTGAATAAGTAAATGCAACATTTTGGTTTTTCTTCATCCATTTAGACAAGCAGCCAACAGCAGCTTCTGAGTCCAACTCTATCTGATAGAGGAGGGTGCCGGCAAGACTCTACAGATGCTGGGAAACCCCAAAGGAAATTTGGGCAGTGGAGGTTACCTTCAGGTAAGTCTATTAATGTCCAAATCATTTTTCTATTCAGGGATTATCAATGGGTGTGTGTGTTTATGTTTCAAAATGTTGCTTTACATTTAAAAATGTGTTTCAGAAGAGATAAAAAGAGATATCTTCTTACCAAAGGAAAGCCAAAAATTAGTCAGAGCCTAAAATTGTAGACTTCAGTGTATTAATTTTATTCTATTGACAATCAGGAACCTTGTACCCAAGTTTATCCCTAAGAAACTTGTAGGGTGCTTTGGAGAAACAGAAAGATTGTTAAGGGGCTCCTGTAGTTGCCCAGGTATGAAAAGTAGAGGGCTGGAACTAAGGGGGCAGCAATGGTAAGGAAAAGTAATGGATAAAAACAGACATTTTGACAAAAGAATGAACACAGCAACTTGTTGAACATAGAAAAATCTAGGCTGCCTCCTACATTTCAAATCTGAGTGACTACAATAATGGTAGTACCCTTGACAAATATAAGAAATGTGTGAGGCAGAGTGAAGAGAAGTGCACTCGAGTGATTACAGTGGGACATCCATGGGAAGAGAGAGAGATATATTTACATATGTGCTTTGCAAACCTTAAAAGTAAGTAACCCCAACTTGGTCATTGCTTGGGCCCTGATTGACTCAGAGTGAATGTAAATAGCAATTGTTTCTGTTTGGCCAAAAACCCTGATGGTCTGACCCGACCGGTTGATTTTTTTTTGTGGGGGGGGGGCGAATAGGTAAAGAGGTCATTCTCTGCCTCATTTTTTACCTAGCCCTAATCACTGAATGAGCATTGCCTCAGTCAAAATGAGACCTGTTAAAGACTTTATCTTAAAAAGGCCAAGGTCTCCCACTGCATCCAGGGCCATCTCCAGTTGTCCCAATTGATATCTGGCCACTAAACCCAGATAGCTCCGGAGGAGAAAGTGAAGCTGGTGACTTTACACCGCCCTGCCTCACTTAAATCCAATTCACTTGCATGTTACGGCGTCACTTTCCTGACATCATGGTCCTCTTCCAGAACAAAGGACAAATAACAACAAACCTCAAAAGTACTATATAAATGCCAGCTGTTATTTTTTAAGAAGCTAGGTGGCACCATGGTCAGAGCACTAGACAGTTCAAATCCTGCCAAATATTCTTCCTTAACATCATTCTGTACAAATTATTTAACTTCTCTCAGGTTTAGTTTCCTCATCTGCAAAATGATAATAAAGATAGCATCTACCTCACAGGTTATGGTGAGGATGAAAAGAGATAACATATGTCAAGTGCTTTACAAAACCATAAAGCAACATGTATATATATGTATGTATGTATATATATATATATACACAGACACACACACACATATGTGTGTATACATATATATATATTCCTACATGCTCACATATACATAAATATGTGCGTGTGTGTGTGTGTGTGTATATATATATATATATATACACACACACACACACACACATACACACACACACACATAGCTAGTATTATCATTATTATTAGCCTCCCATAGGGAGTTTGAAATGAAGTCATGAATGTTCTGGAAGAGCTGTAAATGTAAAACTAAATCATCAACATGTAAATAACATCTGAAGCTTGGCACAGGGTGTGGCAATGTCTGCAGAGGAGGCCAAGAAGCTTCCCTCAAAAAAGCAGAAAGAATAGGAAGGGCATTGTCCCTTGGCATAGAAGCCCAGGAGGAGATTTTCTTTAGTAATGGTTCATTGTTTTCTTATTTTTCAAAGGCAGTAGACAGCAGAGCACAAGCTCTGGTAGATTCTTCCACAAGCTGGAAAAAAACCGAGCATGGGTCCAGTGATAAACCAAACAGAAACTACATTGAATTAGATTCTTGACTCTGCCATTTACTAACTCTCTGACCTTGGGCAAGTCACTTAGTTTTCTCTGTTCTTTAATTTCCTCATCTGCAAAATGGGGGAAGAGGAGATGGATTCCATGACCTCGGAGTTTCCTGTCAGCTCTTAAGTCTGTAATCCTATGACCAGCCTGACTAAGCTCAGAGACACTCATCTCTAGGTTGATTCACAGAGCGATTGATTTATTTTGGTCATAGCAACTCTTGAAGACCATCTCCAAAATCCTAAAGGGATTGCTATTTGTGTCAGTGAACAAGTACCCATAGAGATGAAATCACATCCATGAAGTGTTGAAATATATTTGTTTGACTTGACTCCACTTTGTACATATGTTTTTTCTTTTTCTTTTTTTCTTTTTGGCCAAGCAATGGGGTTAAGTAAGTTGCCCAGGGTCACACAGCTAGTAAGTGTCAAGTGTCTGAGGCCGAATTTGAACTCAGGTCCTTCTGACTCCAGGGCTGGTGCTCTATCCACTGTGCCACCTAGCTGCCCCCATTTTGTGCATATTTCTACAAATTTCATAGGAGGTGAAGTTTTAGGAAGGAGTTAGTGGTCAAAGGCATCAAAAGGTAAAGAAAAATTAAGGGTACTTGCAGGGGAGGAACCAGAGCCCTAGCTATCTGGAAAGTCTAATTTGCTATAATATATTTGCAAGATCTTAATATCATACTAATTTATACCGACACCTTGTGTTATCGAACTGTGTCCTAAAGATAAGTAGTTCTCAAGTTAAAATTTCAAAATTGGCCACAAATACACAATCACTGTCCTCCTTTGAGGACACTGAAGGTTCTTGTGAGGAGTCAAAGAAAAATAAAACTTACTTTGATTGGTTCTTTCTATCCAATCTATTCCAAATCTCCTTCACATTTTCTCTCCTTCTTTCTAAGTATGTGTGTGCATGTATACAACTCTCTACATACATCAATTTCTCCACTTCCTTGACCCAGGTGGTAGGCTTCCATGATAACCAGCAGGTAAATATGTTCCTCATGGATTGATTATGAGGCATTTTTAAAAGGCATATAAAAAAAAAAGTATGACTAGGACAACCTTACAACAGGATTAGAAAATCTTTTTCAGATATAATGATTACATCACTGAGCAAAATTCACATTGATAAACTCTGTGCAAGACACATTTGCCAAGAGTATCAGTAGTTGTACAAATGTAATGTCAAAACCGCTTAGGGGTCTGCAAAAAAGACTCAGAACAGAAAGCCATAACAGCACTCTCTCATTCCACAGCACCAAAACCAATAAGCCATTCTGTGTCTTCGGTCAATCTGAGGTTTGGCAGTCGCACCACCATGAAGTCAGTAGTATGCAAAATGAACCCCATGACTGACACCGCTTCCTGCGGCTCCGAAGTCAAAAAGTGGTGGACCCGGCAGCTAACCGTGGAGAGTGACGAAAGCGGAGATGACCTTCTGGATATCTGAGTGCAAACCGATACAAATGGAAGTCTCATTGTAAAACCAGTTTTCAGATCCCCTATCCTTTCAAGTGAACAAGTTGTAATCAACGTATAACATCAACTTTTCACAGGGTTGTTTGGTTTGGTTTTTCCCCCTTCAATATATCACCATGCTGCCACTGAGAATACAAAGTGAGCCCACCTAATGAACCTGTGTTTGGCCAGTTGGCTATTTACATTCCCTAAAGAAACTGCGTATGATGATAACATTATTAAAGTTAGAAATCATGTCATGAACAACTTTAGATCATTTAAATGTCATGTACCCTGCCTCTGTAAATTAAGATTATATTCAGATATGTCCTCCTGCATTGTTACCTCCCAAAAACCAAGTGCCCCGAAGTGGCCATTCTGTGGTACAGGAGAAATGGCTATACTTCATATTTTCCCCAATTCATCTAGAACTCCTTCTCTTGGGAGAATGTACTATTTATGATTGATCTGAAAAGGTCAGCACTGCACTCATGCTAAGAGATAGTATTTTTACATACTATAAAGTCTGAATTTTAAAAGATACCTTCTGTTTTCTTATATTCTTTTCTAAATATGCAAAAAAAAATTAGAAATCAGAACAAGTCAAATTCTAGCCTCAGTCATTCTCACACAACCTCCCACTTGTTTCAGGGGAAATTTGTGTGTAGGTACCAGGCAAAGAATTTGGCCCATGGGGACTAACTGGCTTAAGACAAACCTGTAAATAGATAACTTAGGGACATAATTATACAAATAGCTTGACTTCCATAAAGAGCCTTCAACAAATAACAATAATAATAATTAAAATAAAATAAAGGAAACTGTGGGGTTCAATTCTATAGGACTCACCTGTATGATATCACTGTAGACTTCTTTTCTTTTTTTTTTTCCTCTAATTCCAATGACCTGACTCAGCAGTGAGAATCTCAGTGCTTTGTCTCACTACAAGACAACTCTTCTGCCAACAGAATTTCCTGTGGAAATAATGGTCCCTCCTAAGAGTCTGCCTACTGCTCACAGCAGCTAGGGTGCATGACAACTTCTATTTTTCCCAAGATCATTGGTGTACCTCCTCTGAGAAAGTACAAAATGTGGAATGCCTGGAAAGTAGAATTTGTGGCATTATTGCTGGCCTTGGGAAGCAAAAGTGGATCTAGACCATATAATCCATCTCTCCTGGGTTTTCAGGTTTGTTGTGTAGGACATTTCATAATTTTTTTTACTGTAATTGTCTCAGAGAGTACATACTGTGTGGTGTTTGATTTACTTTAAGTTGATTCAATTCCATACTTTCTTAAAATAGGTACATTTGACTTTTTCTGTATAACATTTTTGATGAAGTGTTGACAGTCTATCGTTAATGAGATTACTTGTGACTATGAGATTATGGAAAACTTCACATCACTGTGGTCAGAAAAGGATTACATTTGGTTTTGTTTTTGTTTTGAAGTTTACCTTTTGTACATAATAAAAAAAGAGATAAACTCTGTTTATAAAAGAACCAAATCTGCATTGCAAGTTATTTATTACTCCTTTTTCCTGAATCAGTTAATAAATAAATCACAATTATCTGCCATAATTTGTCAAAGCCCAGTAGTAGACATATAGCACAATTAAAGAGACCTTATTTTAGATGAATTCAGTGGTCCACAATGTTGGCATTTACAAGTGAAAAAGGTTGGATGGGAGAACACTCATACTGCTGAAATCCAAATGAGGAAAGATATGTATCTGCCCAGGACTCAGATTTAGGATCTGGAAGGTAGCTTAAAAATCATCTAATGCAGTGATTCTCAAAGTGTAATCCAAGAGAGGCTGGGGGATCCATGAGGTCAAAACCTTTTTATAATAATACTAAGACATTATTTGCCTATTAAAATACTGCTCACCTTTCCAAATGCACATCTGTGTAAGGCCAGATTTTCTGTATATGTTCACCAAAACAATACATCTCAAAAGAGTGACTGCAGAAATTAAGAATCCATATATCTCCTATTAAGCCAATTAGATTTGCAAAAATAGATAAAACTGACTGTTCTTAAATGTTTTTATTTTGGAAAATATAGATTTTGTATTTAAAATATTAATATGAAATAGGTTTATTATTATTTTAAATTACATCAGTTTTAATATCTAATATAGTAAATCCTGATAGATATAACCACATAAACAAAAGCTCTTTTGGGTCATCAATGATATTAAAGAGTATAAAGGGGTCCTGAGACCAAAAATTTGAGAACTGCTGATTTAAATCAACACCCTAACTTTATAGGTCCATCAAGATCAAAAAGCATTTGTTAAAAATACTGGCTGTGTGCCAGGCACAGTTCTAGACTTCTGGAAATACAAAGATTAAAATGAAATAGCTCCTGTCTTCTGGGAGCTTTCATTCTTTATGGAGAGACAACACATACATGGATAAATATATACAAAATATATACAAAGAAATCTTGGGTTATGAGGGCACAAATAAGTGATGGGTTTCCCATCCTTGGAGGTCTTTAAGTAGAGACTGGAAGGACACTTGTCAGTGGGGATTTCTTTCATGTATGGGTTGGACTAAATTAATCAAGAGCTTACTATGTACCAAGCAGTAGGTATGCAAGTATAGAAAGTGAGACAATACCTGTTCTTGAGGAGGTCACACTCTGATATGGGAGACAGCCCATTAAGAGAAAGTTTAGTTGTGGAAAGGATGGAAAATCCCAGGGTTCCTTAGATTATATCATTACGTTAGGTCAGATGACAATGTGAATGATTGTTGAGGTCCCTATCAACTCTCAAATTCTGTAATTCTGTTAGTCCAGATGAAGCAAAATCTTAAAAGCTAATATGTGAGCTGAGGAAACTAAGGCACAGAAAAATGAAATTACTGGCCCAAGGTCAAGCAGGTAACAAGTAGACGGGATTTGAACCTGAACCCTTGGATGTCAAATGTAATGTATTTTCCACTACTTCATACTTCCTCTCAATGTCTCATAGAAGATTTCTTTTTTTGGTTCAGTGCACTTGGGTAATAGAACTCCATTTTTCCAAGACTGCTGAGCCCTCTCTGAAAAGTCTGCAATTAAGGTTCAGCAGAGGCACAGGCATGGTTGTTCATTCTGCAGGGAAGTGAGGGGGCCTATTAGCAGCTGGAGTATTTAAAGGCATAGCATCCCTGAAATACCACAAGGGGAAAGGAGACGATCCATTTGTCACTATAGCAAACAGTACTGACTGAGAGGATGAGGGGAATCTTTTGTCCATTCTTCCATTTCACTACTAAATACATATATACAAACTAAAACGAAAGGGTTACACAGATGGAAAAACATGACAATGAGCTATAGCACGCAGGGAGGCCAGACTTCAAGTACTAATCCTCTCATTATACCACCCACTGTCTCTAATCAAAACCATTCCATTTGATCTGGGAGCATCCATTAAGTGTAAGGGGTAGGAGATTTGAAATGAGACCACCTCATATGCACTGGGCATCTGGCCGAATCAGGGAAATCCAAAGGAGAGAACCAATGATGGAGCACAGGCAAGTCATTATTACAAGCAGAGTGCTGCTATTAACCTAGTCTTTTTTTTTTTTTTTAATAACAACTGAAAACCAGTGGTATGGGAAACAGCTGGCTATGGAATCAAACACCCAGCAGTCAACCCTTTGTCCTCTGCCTAAGCACAAGGAGACAATCTGGTTGTCTGTCTTAGGTAGCAAAAGCTTTAGCAACAACCACACCTGGGCTAGGTGAGGAGTCAAGCATGGCTGCTTTGTTAATTTCCTCTCCCCTTCCCTATCCTAACCCAAATATACTGAATGAGACACCTGACCCTATTTATTTTCCAGTCCTCCTTCAAGTTCCTGCCAATGCATTACTGCTATAACCAGATTGCCAAAAAGTAAAGTCTTATCAGTGTGTTACCATCAAAAAAAGCACTGGCTCTCTAGGTTCAAATCCCACCTCTGACACTTTATGACCTTGGCAAGTTACTCAACTTTCTTAGGCCTGTAAAATGAAGAGGTCGAGACTGGATGGCTGCTGGGGTCCTTTGCAACCCTCTATATATGACCTTATGTTCTATGATAGCTGTTTATACTCAGGGAGTCAATGAACCATTCACTGGCTCCCCGAGTTGGATAGACCTCAATGTCTTCTCTTTTCTCAGATATCTCTGCAAGATAGGGAGGAAAACTATGTCAGGCCAAGATTTGGACAGTGACTTGATTTATGGTTGGAATTACTTGGATAACAGCTTTATTCCACTCTATAATTCAGGTCAATGTCCACAGACAGTAGTTCTATGAACTTATAGCCCTACTGCCAGGACATACAAAATGAATTCCTTGCATGAGTTCTCTGTTGTCTTATATTTTTCCGCTCCAAATGCAAAGACTGTCTCTACAGGGTGGTATCTAGGTAAAGGCGTAAGTATTCAAAAGAAGCTGTCTGGAAACCTTAGTGATCAATTTATTGTGTAAGTTTTCTTATGCAAGAAATTGAATGAAACCATGAAGAGATGGATGTATTTTGCCTCGGGGCAGAAAACAACAAAGACCTTAGTTATTAGGTCAGGTGCTGTTGCTTCCTGGGTGTCAGAACATTGTTTCACTAACAAGAAACCTCTTAATTTCTATTCCCCCTTACCTGGGTAATTTTTAGTTTATGTGCCATATTTTGCCAGAGACTTAATGCTGAGCTTAGGAAGTTCAGAGGGAGATCGTATGGTACCTCAGAAAGAACACTGGCTCTTTAGTCAAAGGGCCTGAGATCAAATCCAATCTCTGACATTGTCTGACTTGGAATTTCCCTGAGTCTCAACTATAAAATGAGGGGATTGTCGATGATGGCCTCTAAGGTCCTTTCCAGCAATTTAATCCTATAAGCTATGACACATTCCTACAGTCAGAGAACCAAATATCACAAAATTGGACAGATCTCAGAGGTTATCTACTCAAATCTGTACCTGAATGGGAATCTCCTCCCCTACATCTAGGTTCTACTTAAAAAATTCTAGTGATGGGGAACTCACTACCTCTTGAGGCAACAAATTCCACTTTAGTCCAATTATAGATGTGCTTAGAGTGCTATGCCTGTTTTGTGCCAAGACAAAAGGAAAAACTGCCCCGTCTTCAAGAAGCTTACATTCTACTAGGGAGAATAACAAATGTAAATAGACAAGTAAACCCATGATTATTTGAGGAGGGAAAGAGTATTGATTGGGAAGGGAAGGGTATTCAGAAAAGGCTTCCTCTAGGAGATAAGACTTAAGATGAACCTTAAGGGAAGAAAGGAATTAATTTTAAGGGGTAGATATGAGGAAAAGGAGTATTTCAGTAATGGAGCACATTTGATAAATCTGAGAAAACAGAGAAGGTAATGAAAGAAAGGCTGAAAAATAATGTTGTCTAGTGGAGGACTCCTCATTTATCACTGTCTCCATCTCAGCACTTTTTTCAATAATAATCTTTTCCTTCACTCCTGCCTCAGAGAACCAAGTGTCTCTCCTCCCCTCCAGAGCTATCTCAGTGGTAGTCTGGGTTTCATTTCCTCCCACATCCTGGGAAATTGTGTTCCTATTCTCATCCGCTGCCTTCCTACTATCTTTAATGATCAGCCACTATTTCCTTACCTTCTGCTTTTCCTGTTGGGAAAAAAAAAGGTAGGGAGGGAGGAGGATGTCCACTGCAACTACTTTCTTCAACATCCAAGTTCCTCTACAATGGTCTACAATAGTTCCTTCCAATTTCTCACTATCCATTTTCCTAAATCCCCTGAAATCAGGCATCTCCTTTGCATTATCACAGAATTATAGAACTGTAGAGCTGGAAAGGACATCAGAGATGATCTAGAACAACCCATACCCAAAAGATATCCCCATTACAACATGCCTATCAAGTAGTGGTCCAGCCTCTGCTTGAAGTCTTCCCAGGACAGGGAGCCCACCACCTCTTGAGACAACCTATTCCATTTCTTTGGAGAGTTGTAATTATTTTTGTTTTGTTTTGTTCTCCCTGACATGGAGCCTAAATTGGATTGTTTGCTCAACTCATTGCTCTTTGATCTGCCCTGTGGGGCCAAACAGATTCCAAATCCAATTTCTCCTCCACATGACAAACCTTCAGATACTTGAACATGGCTATTATATTCCCCCTGAGTATTCTCTCCTCCAGGCTAAACGTTCCCAGTTTCTTCAGCCGATCCTATTTCCAGGTCACTGATTACCTCTTTTGGCTATATCCAATGGATTATTTCCATTTCTCAGTTCATCACCACTACCCCCTACTCTTTTCCTTGAGGTTCTCTATATCTTCAGTTTCTATAACATTGAGATCTTATTTCAACTAACTTCACTCTCTAACAGCTCTTCTGTTCCTGACCCCTCACTCTAAACCAACCTCCCTTCACCAGGTTCCA